GGATCATGAGCTTTCACTCAACAAGTAACAACATACCACAATAAGTGCAAACAATAATGCATACCCATATATGCATTCGTGTCATACATTCTAATACATTTTCTAGACATTTATAGCGTTTATCGTATTATGTTTTCTTTTCTTTCATTTCACACTTCTTTACAACTTTCTTTCTTTTGTCGTTCTTTTTTATAACTTTTACTTCTTATGGGCCCCGTTTCTGTTGTACTGTTGCGCACATAAACAATGAGAAGTGGGGTAGCGACCCAAAACTAACTCACCCACGGTTTCATTCAAATAACCTCCCTTGCGAAGGCGCCGGTACAACCAGTTTTATTAACTTTCTATCATTTATCATCTTTACTTCATACATCGTCTTAGCGTCATCTTTTCTTATCATAAGAGTAATTTTAATCTTAGTATTGCATCTTTACGCATTACTATCAATTTCTTATGAAATTTAACTTTATTTAAAAGTTTGACTTTTTTGTTGATGTTGACTTTGACTTTTGACTTTTTCAAAGATTAAAATTCTACTACTACTTTAGATCCATAAGCACATTTATTGCAACAAATAATATTCAAGAAGCATCTTTCACATGTCAGCATACATTAAACCTACAATATGCACAATTTTGTGCAACACGGAGAAATGAGCTTGTTGCTGTCAAAGACAAAAGAACTGCTGATACTTAAAGGAGTTCTGCTAAGGTCACAACTTTTGAGTCACCAGAAACTTTGTTGCTTTGATCGCCTACTGATCTTATCATATAAATTCCCGATCGTTAGATTTACAATCTAAGACCAGTAATTACAATACAATTTGACTCGAATTCGTTGGTTCGTAAATATTATTTTCATGAAATGCACATGTCGAGTCTAAAATCCTTAAGTTTCATGTTTATTTCATTAATCTATTTAATGTTCCATTTTTCTTTTCTTACTGCGTTGTTTTGCACCTATTTACAGTTGACCTTAAGAGAATATTGTACAACTAGTTTCTCGAAAAGCGTTTTTCACGGGGCTTCTTATCCTTGAAAAGATATACGATTTTCATGTTTGGTATCCGGACCGAAACATCTCTTACGTCACCAATGTGCACCAAACCCATGCATATTTGGCCTAAAATCACAATTTTAGACCTATTTCGGAAATCAGCCTGAAACTGACGTCTGAGGTTGTTTTTGGAAAAAAAAAAAAAGTTAATTCATAAAAGTTGCTCGAAACAAAATTTCTTACAACTTTGATGCTAGCCAATTTTTAAAATTAAGCTTCTATCTTGGTCCTCTAGCCTAAATAGACTCGGTACAAGTTTTCGAATCATTAACCTAGTTTTCAATTTTGTTCTAAAACTCAAAATTTACGTCATTTTAGGTTTTCACACATCTTTAACCACCTAATAAACTTATTTTACTAATCTCATTCCTCTTATTCTTCATTATAACCGGTATTGGTTCACATTTATCAAATTAAATTTCGGTAGAGTTCCGCCTAATTTTTCATGTTTCCCGAGCTAACCATAACTCATTATATCCATTGTTTCAACCTCTCAAACACATAGCACAACCTTTTTCATTCCTTTTATCATCATAAATAGCATAGACCACTAGGGTTTCGTCATCATTTTCACAATAATTCTCAATAAATAAAAACACTAAATAACTAAAAATTTATCCTTTAGTCATTAAGTTTTTTGATCCCTTTAATAACTATAAGCAAATCATCATCCCTAACAAAATTTTTCCATGGTTTCTATTGTTCATGGACGTGTAGCTACAGTAGAAGATGAGGAGAAAAATTAAAATTTTAACTTAGGGAAATGAAGAGAAAGTTGTGGTGACACGAATCAACAGTATTTTTTCACCGATTTCGATTAGAACTTGTTTTTCTCACTTTGGGAAATTTTTTTTTCTTTCTTTCTTTGGCTGAGTGCTCTCTAGTTTTCTTGCATGGAAAATGAATGTTTGGTTTGTATTTTTCCCCCTTATAAAACCGGTCATAAGGTGAGAGCGACCTAGGTGTAATTTTGACATTTTCTAAGGTCTTTTTTACAAAAAAAAAAAATCAAAACATCTACTTGCTTCTCCCTTAAGGTTGGCCGGCTATATCCTTCCCTTCCATGTGTCTTAATCTTAGCCCTCCATCCATTTAATCACCTTAAATCTCAACCATTCAATCTTAATAATTATCTCATTTCGATTCAATTTACTTCCCATCCGGTGCACGTTTTATCTGCGTTTCTCAGACCGTTGGTCAACTTTATTCATCCTTGACTAACTCTTTAAGAGTGACTTATTGGTCGACTCTTGGTCAAAAAATTTTGACTTGGTCAATCCTAATATGTTAAAAACTCTAATTTTCTCGGTTCGGCCTTCCGAACCCATTTTTCGTCTGTTCTTCGTTCTGATTGTTTCTAAAACCCTAGAATTGATGTTTTTTAATTCTTTTTCATTTCATGATCTTAATATTCATGTGTTTACCGACTTGTGGGAATAACACATTGTTTCGTGCCTCTTTCTTAATTATAGTATGAAATTCGATAACTACATCATAATTCAGAAATTTCTGATCTTTAACTTATAATTGCTATTCAATATTAATATCAACAAATACTTATCATAAAAGTATTAATATTTATAATACAAAGAATTCCAAGAAATTTTATCTTATACAATAATTTCTTTGACAAATTTTCTAGTCATGACAAACTGATTTTCCCTAATTAATTAGTGATTAACCATATTTGAACCTTCCAATTAATTACCACTTAACTCCAGTTAATGTGATTAACTATATCTAACTGTCTGGGGTAAAATTGTCTTTTTATTCATTTAAAAGTGAGTGTTTCAAACTTTTTCATAAAAGTGGTAGAATTAAATGGCACTACCACAAAAATAGTATTTTCATAATTAATCATTTTATCTTTCAATCTTATTTTTCAATTTGTTCCTTTATTTTTAAAACGTTCCGAAACAAGTTTTTGATTTAAAAAATTATTTCACATAAGTGCTTTCACTTATTCGCTTATAAAACTCTCGATCAACTAAAAAAAAAAAAAACTTGTGAGCACCGTGTGCAATCTAACATGGGTATTTTCGTAATTCAACATGTCTGGATTACTTTTGTAACTAAACATATCGCGCCTTTTTTTTTTTTTGGTGATTTTAACAATAAGATCGTCGAAACTTGAATGTATTAATTTGAGACAATTTGATAAATTGAAAACTAGTCTAAGACATTTTAAAAGTTAGAGCTTAAAATAAAACTTTTAATACATTATTTTTTCTCACAAGAATTTAAATTTTTTTCTGTTATAGTATTTTTTCTCACATAAATTCACTTTAAAATTTAAATTCTCAACTCAAACGCATAAATAAAGAAAGAGAGCGGCAGAGTAATCTTAAGCACGGGAGCAGCTGCCCCTGTGGAGTCCAAAATGCTCCTTTAAAATTTGGCCCCAAAAATATATTCTTATAATTTCGTTTATTATGTGCTCCCTTATAATTTATTAGAAATGTTTCAATTATACTTTAAAATTTGACTTTTATATACACTCATAATTGAAATTTAAAATTCTAAATTAAAAATCAACTACACTATTATATAAATTCATAATTTTGTAAATATTACCCTATAACAAGTGAATTGAACTTAATTACAAACGTGATTCTTTTGAAAAAAGAAAAAAAAAACAAATATATAGAAGAAGATAATAAAAGAGCAGTTATGGGTATATGTAAATCCTTTTTTGATTGGATTGGATCAATCTCTTCGATTGATAAAAAAACAAATATGGTTTTCAGTCATAAAAGAAAAATAAAGATTCAGGATAAATTTGAATCATTAACTATTGATTGTAAATTCATGAACGATTCTTGAATTTAAATCGAATATATGTATACAATTGTTAAGAAAAAAATCGTGTCCTTTTTTTGTGATTTTAACAATCAGATTGTCGAATTAGAATGCATTAATTTGAGACAATTTAATAAATTAAAAACTTAGTCTAAGACATTTTAAAAGTTAGAGCTTAAAATAAAACTTTTGTTACAGTATTTTCTCACAAAAATTTAAATTTAATTTTTTCTGTTGTAATATTTTTCTCACATAAATTTACTTTTCAACTCAAACGTGCGAAATAAACAAACATGGCAGAGTTATCTTAAGTCCAGGGGTAGCTGCCCCGTGGAGTCCAAGATCCTCCTTTAAAATTTGGCTATTATGTGCTCCCTTATAATTTATTAGAAATGTTTCAATTATACCTTAAAATTTGACTTTTAAGCACACTCATAATTGAAATTTCAAATTCTACATAAAAATATCAACTACACTATTATATAAATTCCTAATTTTGTACATATTGCCCTATAAAAAGTGAATTGAACTTAATTATAAACGTGCTTCATTTGGAAACAGAAAGAAAAAAAATATAAATATATAGAAGAAGATAATTAAAGAGAAAAAGTAGTTAAAAAATAGTTGCACTAATAGTTTAACAGGTTGTTCTTTTCACAATTTAAGTTGAAAATTTGAATTGTGTATGTAAGAGAAAAATATTATAGTAAAAAAGTTGATTTTAAATTTTTATGAAAAAAAATACTAACAATAAAACTTAAATTGTGAAAAAAACAATACCTTAGTTTAAAACTTTGGCCTCCGTGAAAACCTTTCTTGGCTTCGCCACTAAACTAACCAAACTTATTATGTAAGAGTACTTTTAGGTTTAAAAAAAAGAGACAAATACTCTTTAGAGTGTATGAGTTTAAATTTTTACCTTTTACTTTTTATTAATATTATTTTTAGTTAAATAATTATATTTATTAAAAGAGTAAAAAATAAGAGGTAATAATTCAAATAAGTTCCAACCATTTTCTCTTGGGTTTAATTCCTGCTTGAGTGCATACTTTCTCCAACTTGTTATGTGGGCCCACCTCTAATCTAATAAAATGCAGCCCGTGGATCATTTTCCTTTTTATTTTATTATTATTTTTGGGGGAAGCACTTGAGTCTAGACGCATCAAAATTTCCTCAATGAAGTTCTCTTGGCACTCTGGTTGGAGCTCCCTAAAACCCTTTCACAACCCTAATTTTCAATCCCACCATGCCAATTATTTTCCAGTTTTTCCAATCCCCAATGTTACAAAAACCTAAATTGTTCTGAAAATTCCATAACTTTTTTTTTTCAAGATTTTCAACCAAATACTGTTTGTATGTATACTATCTGATTGATCAAATCAGCCTTTTTCCTTTTGCCGATTGGAAATAGATTAAAAGATGAGCCAACCATCGGTTATACTTGCTACGGCTAGCTACGATCATACTATTCGGTTTTGGGAAGCCAAAAGTGGCCGCTGTTACCGAACCATCCAGTACCCTGATTCGGTTCGTGTTATTTTGATCGATATTTTTTTGTCATTTTGACTGTTGGAGAAGTGTTGATGGCAATGAAATGTACTGCTTTGGTGACTAATAGGGGATTTTCCACTTAAATAAAAACTGCCCATTATGTGCTTTGTCCCGTTATTTGGAGAAAAACTTGTTACATTGTTATCGGTTATATTGTTGGATAAGTGTTAGTGGCAATGAACTTTACTGTTTTGGTGACTAAGAGGAGACTTTCCAATCAAATGAAAACTGCCCATTATGTGCTTTGTCATGGTATTGGGAGTTTTCATGCTATTGTTGTTATTGGTTATAGATTTATTTTTCTTATGCATATCTATTTATTCTTGGGTGTTAATGATAGTTTGGATATTTAGTGAATTACTTTATGAGAAAGACCATATGTTTTATTTATTTCAAGAAGCTCATAAACAAATGTGCAGTATGGAGATAGTGAAACAGCCAAGAAAACAACTGTTATAATTAACGAGAAATTAAACGTTTAGATTGGAAACGGCGTGAAACAAAACCAAATTTGGTACCCCAGGTATTCGGTTTGATAGCCTATTACTATTTTTTATTTTGTATTATTATTATATTTTTTTTTGGTGCTTATGGTTGATCAAAAGGTAATTTTTCACATTCTGCTAAAGAAGAAATTAGAAAAATATTTTGGATGTGCTAATTTGCTTTAATTTACCTTGCTATCTCTCTTTGGTTTCTTAAAGTATGAAGGGAAAGGCAGCGTTTGAGTTTAGGTATGTGATGTTAGTATTTTCTGGGTTCTATATCCAGTCGAGCTAAGTAAAGTTGGATGATGCGTGGTTGAATTTCAAAAACTGAATAATGAAATGTTTGTGAATTTTCCTTCTATCTTGATACTTTATTGGCAACATATCATGTTTTTGAGGGACTTTGCCTTTGAGACGTTGTGCTGGTTTTGCCTATTCAATTTCAGTTCTGTGCTCTATTGGCTCTGATTTTTGTGTTTGTATTAGCAAGTTAATAGGCTTGAGATAAGCCCGAATAAGCGATACCTAGCTGCAGCTGGTAATCCTCACATTCGATTGTTCGATATTAATTCAAACAGCCATCAGCCGGTGAGTTCATTGCAAGTTTCACATTTCTTTTCTTTTGCCTTCTTCCTTGAGGACAAGAAGGAAAAAGGAAATAGATCTTTCTAAACTATTAGCTGATAACCCCCTATTTTCTTTGACTTCATCACAGGAGATTAGCTATGATTTGCATACTAATAATGTGATGGCAGTGGGATTTCAGTGTGATGGGAAATGGATGTATTCAGGTTCTGAGGATGGCACGGTAAAGATTTGGGATACAAGGTATATTTCATCGTAATGTGATTATCGTATTCTAATGCCATTAATTTAGATATTTGTTGACTTAAGTTTATCTAAAACGCAGAGCACCAGGTTGTCAAAGGGAATATGAAAGCCGTGCTGCTGTTAACACTGTTGTTCTGCACCCAAATCAGGTTGGTTAAACATTTCTTGAGGCAATGAAGATACGAATAGCTTAAACTGCTAGTCCATCCCTCATTACTCCTTTGTGTTGAATTATGATCCCGGTTCCTTAGCCTTAGGAATGCAGAGGCTGTAATTTATTTGTATTTTATTCTTTATTTATGTGGTAGATTTAGGGTAATTAGAGAATGTAATTAGAGAAAGTTGACTTGAGATGTTTTAGGAATGATTTCTTGATTAATTAGGAGATTTGCTAGCTGTCAGTGAGTGAGAGAACCGGTGGCCCTGTATCTACTGACCTCTATATGTAGGTTGTGTCGGCAGATCAAATCAAATTGATTTGATCGGATTCTACTCGATTAAATCAATCTAGAAGATTTTTGAATTAATTTGAAATATTCAAATCTTCCTTATTGGTTATCCGGCTGTTTAGGATTAGGTTTTAGTCAATAAAATCCGATTTGATTGTTACAGCAAATCAGCCACATTATTAGGGAGATTTTCTTTATTTTGTTATTTTTTGCTGCCTAGTTAAATGTATTTCCGCCACATTTAATAAAAATATAGCAGATCATTCCTTTCAAATCTACTTTCATGGTATCAGAGCCACTCTTTGAACCCTAATTTCTCTACCAACCGTAATGCCAAAATACGGAATGGCCGGTGGAAAAGAGACCTCATCGTCCGAGGTTACCTCTGCTTCATCAGGGATTGTCAATCCGACTCCAACCAATGGATTTGAAGTCCCCTTTCAGCAAGTCACGAGTCATAAATTCAATGGACATAATTTTGTCCAATGGTCATATTCTGTGATGATGTTCATAGAAGGGAAAGGAAAAGAAGACTATCTCACCGGTGATGCTGCACAATCGAATGAGAAGGATCCCAAGTTTAAAACTTGGAAAACAGAAAATAGTATGGTTAGGTCATGACTGATCAATTCCATGAATAATGAGATGGGACAAAACTTCATGTATTATAAAACAACAAAGGAGATGTGGGATGCTGTGAAGCGGAGTTATTCCAACAAGGAGAACACTTCAGACTCAAAGGTATTCTGAATGATCTACGCCAAGGAGAACTCAGCGTAACGAAATACTTCAACACTCTATCACGCTACTGGCAACAATTGGATATTTTTGACGAAACAACACGGCACTGTGCTGAGGATCACAAGCGGTATAAGGAAATTCAGGAAAGAGATCGAGTTTACAAGTTTTTGCTTGGTCTTAATAAAAATCTAGATGATGTTCGTGGAAGGATCTTAAGTACAAAGCCTCTACCAGATGTTTGTGTAGTTTTTTCAGATGTAAAGCAGGAAGAGAGCCAAAAGAGATTGATGTTAGGAACTCTTAATGATATGATGCTGCAATCTCAAATTCCAATGATGCCGGAATCTCAACCACGGATGCCTCTGCTTTAGCCGCCCGAGGACCACAGTCCAGCAGCGAGAATCAAACAGAGAAGGAACCGGCCTTGGTGTGATCATTGCAAGCGAACTGGACACACCAAAGATACTTGCTGGAAAATCCATGGAAAACCAGCAAACTGGACTCCTCGAAAGCAGAACGAAGGAAGAGGCTTCCAAGTCTCCCAAGATAAACATGGAATGGATGCTCCCACACAACAACATCATGCAGACTCTTCGATTGCACTGAATAAGGACTAGCTAGAGCAACTTTACCGTCGTCTCACTCCAACACCAGCACTATCTAAGGCAATTTCCAATGTAGGATTGTGCACCATGACACACAATGGTAACCATTCAGCCTTGCTCTCTTCACTTCATACTCAGGAACCGTGGATCATTGATTCCGGTGCCTCTGACCACACGACAGGTTGTTCTAAACATTTTTCGTCCTATACTCAATGTTCTAGTATTGCTAAAATTAAGATTGCAGATGGATCTCTAGCCACTATTGTTGGAATAGGCTCAATACGAGTCTCAAAAACCCTTATTCTTCATTCTGTCCTACATGTTCCAGCCTTGAAATGCAATCTGTTGTCCATTAGTAAACTCACACGTGACAATAACTGTGTAGCTAATTTTTTTCCTTCCATGTGTCAATTTCAGGATCTATCATCGGGGAAGACGATTGGCAGTGCTAGAACCTATAAGGGACTTTATTTCCTTGAGAATTCAGAATCTAAGAGTCGGCAAGCACTTGTGTCAGGAGTGTCACCTGTTTCGGTTTCTACTGATAGAGAAATAATGGTGTGGCATCATAGACTAGGCCACCCCAGTTTTTCATATTTGAAGTTTTTGTTACCAACTCTATTTAGAAATAAAGATTCTATTTCCTTTGCTTGTGATATTTGTCAACTGGCTAAACATACTTGTGTTCCTTTCTCACCAAAACCATATACGCCCCTATGCCTTTCTCCTTAATTCACAGTGAAGGGTAACAACCTTGAATGGAAAACGATGGTTTATCACGTTTATTGATGACCATACAGGAGTAACTTGGGTTTACTTGCTTAAAGAAAAATCTAAAACTTGCCAAATCTTTCAAACCTTCCATAAAATGGTTCAAACCCAATTTCAGAAAAAAATTCAATTTGAAGAACTGATAATGGTGGTGAATATTTCCAGTCCACTTTGCGTAATTATCTTGACCATCATGGAATCGTTCACCAAAGTTCTTGTACTGATACACCACAGCAAAATGGAGTCTCAGAAAGAAAGAATCGACATCTACTGGAAGTGGCCCGTGCCCTTATGTTCACTATGAATGTACCCAAATATTTGTGGGGTGATGCCATTTTAACCGTTGCCTTTCTCATCAATAAATTACCCAGTTGTCCCCTCAAATTTAAATCCCCATTGTCTGTCCTCACAACTCGAGTTCCACACTTGAATATCCTCACTGTCGGATTATGTGGGTTATTTTGGGAAAGTTTTATTATAGAATATTTTTTGTTAGTTTCCTGATTCTTAGGAGATTTAGATAGCTGTATATTCTGGTGGTTATTTCCAGATTTTTAGGAGATTCTTTTCGCTGATTCTTTGGCTCTCATATTTGTATTTATACCTCCTGTTGTAACCTAATTCAGTATCAATGAATAAGCTATTCTCTTATTTATTTTTCTGCATGGTATCAGAGCTTTAGGCTCTTTTCTGGGTTATTTTTTCCGGCCCTTTCCTTCTCTTTCAGCCTCCTTTAATCTGCGATTTCAGTATTGTTCCTCAGCTGCGTTTCTGCCTGCTGAAATCTCCTCTGTTTCTCTGTTCTGCCGTTGGAATCTCTCTTGTTTCTACTGAAATCCTTTATTCCTTTTTTTTTTTTCAATTCCATTCGTCCATTCTCTCATCTTTCTAGTCGATCTATTAACCATGTCTGAGTCTGCGGAAACCACAGCAACATCGGGCACTCCAGTAACAGAGAGTGTAACCGCTGTCCAGCCCGGAGACCTGCAAAATATTCAGGCATCATATCGACTGAACGGAAAGAATTATTTGAAATGGTCACAGCTTGTTCGGACGTTCTTGAAGGGACGGGGAAAATTAAGCCACTTACTAGGCACGGGTCCTTCAAAGGATGATCCGAAGTTTGCTGCGTGGGATGAACAAGATTCGATGGTGATGTCTTGGTTATGGAATTCGATGCTACCAGAGATAAGCGATACGTGCATGTTTCTCGGATCCGCCAAGGAAATTTGGGATGCTATCCAACAAACATATTCCAAGGTCAATGATGCTGCTCAAATCTATGAAGTCAAGACAAAGATTCATGCAGCCAAACAAGGTACACGAACTGTCACAGAATATTCAAGTTTTTTACAAGGCCCGTGGCAGGAAATGGATCACTATCAATGCATTCAGATGCGTTGTAGTGAGGATGCAGCGATTTTAAAGCGATTTGTTGAGAAGGAACATATCTATGACTTTCTTGCCGGTCTCAATGTTGACTTTGATGCGGTCAGAGTGCAGATTTTGGGGAAACCAGAATTGCCGTCATTAAACGAAACCATTTTGATTATCCGTGGAGAGGAAGGAAGAAGAAGTGTTATGTTGGAGACAGATGGAGGAGACGGATCTGCCATGGTGTCCAAAGCTGTGAAGGCTAATGAAGGGAAGGAAACCATCCCTATTTCACCATTTGTTCCAGCCAATCCACCATTTGTTCCTGCCAATCAGTCCAAATCTGCCAATAGGGATAGGGACTCACTGTTTTGCACATATTGCAAAAAACACCGCCATACCAGGGACCGCTGCTGGAAGCTTCACGGGAGACCCAATCGGGCTGCTAATGACAGGGGACAAGCACATGTTGCGAGCACTCAATCACATGATGAAGGAGGTTCTGGTTCGCGTGATCTGACACTAGGTTTTCACAAGGAAGGAATTGAAAAATTAAGAAGTTTATTGGAGACACTTGAAAAGCCTTCCACGACAGGTACGGGTAGTACATGCTCACTGGCGTTTTCAGGTATTTCTTCCTCTTCTTGTGCTATTAATGTCTCAGAAAAAATTTCTCCACATACTTGGGTAATAGACTCCGGAGCCACCGACCATATGACCTATACCCCTAACTATTTCACGTCCTACACACCATGTTGCAGCCACCGAAAGATAACTATTGCTGATGGATCAGTTACTACCGTAGCTGGACAAGGAGACATTTATATCAATAATTCCCTCACCCTTAAAAATGTTCTTCATATTCCAAAATTGTCAGCAAATTTAGTTTCTATCCGGAAACTCACCAAAGATCTCAATTGCAGTGTAACGTTCTTTCCATCACATTGTGTGTTTCAGGAACAGGGCACGAAGAGGAAGATTGGACATGCTAGTGAGAGGGACGGTCTTTACTACCTGGAAAGTCGAAGTGGAAGAGCTAAAGTCGAAGATTCCCCATCTACAACATTTCTTTCAGAGTCAGTCATGTCAAACAAAATAAAATTTGGCTTTATCATCGTCATTTAGGTCATCCTTCATTCAGCGTTCTTAAGTTGATGTTTCCTTCATTGTTCAAAGGGTCCAAACTAGAGTCTTTTCATTGTAATGAGT